ATCAAATTCCCTGACCTCCAGTCAAATGTATTTCTCCTTCATTATGAGCCCCTCAGAGAAACAATTAACAAATTTATTTTTTCACTCACTCAGCCCCTTTTTCTAAATGCCAATTGAGTATCAAAATTTTTTCTTGTCTACTCAGCCCACTGAAGTCACAATAAAATAATGAAAGCAGCCTGTGACTCAGCAAGTTTAATCACACAGAATGTTTATATCTTGGCAAATAATACAGTCAACACATTTATACGTGTCATATTTCTTTTTTTTGCATTTTTAGTAGAGTTGGGGTTTCACCATGTTGGCCAGGCTGGTCTCGAACTTCTGACCTCGTGATCCACCCACCTTGGCCTCCCAAAATGCTGGGATTACAGATGTGAGCCACCGCGCCCGGCCACATGTCATGTCAACCTCCACTTTTTAAAGCTTTTTGTCTACAGTAACCATTTGAAGAACAGGAAAGAAAAAAGCAGTAATTAATGTTCTAGAGTATATTATAGGCAGGGAGACAGTACTGGCTGTCTACTCTTCAGGGTTCCCATCTTCAGCCTGTCCAATGGAACCTGGATTGTTCAGATGCTGGGAGCATTTGTGCTTCCTGGTTTCCTCTCTAATCCCTGGGATGCATGTGCTGACTAATCTAAGCAGCCAAGGCATGGGCCTGGACCAGCGGTATCCACATTGCCTGGAAACAGGTTAGAAATGATCAGCTTAGGCCCCCTCCAGGCCTGCTGGACCAGAAACCCTGGGGCCCAGGAACCTGTGTTTCATCTAACTCTCTGGATAACGCTGATGCATCTCATGTCGAGAACCTTGGTCTAACTAGGGGTGTCGAAAGTTTTAGCTTCCCTGGGCCACATTAGAGGAAGAAGAATTGTCTTGGGCCTCATGTAAAATACACTAACGACAGCTGATGAGCTAAAAAATAAATAAAAATTAAAAAAATAAAAATCCCAAAAAAAAAACCTCATGATGTTCGAAAGTTTCTGACTTTGGGTTGTGGCACATTCAAAGCCATCCCAGGCTGCTGCAGCTTGGACAAGCTTGATCTAAACGAATCACAGCAAATCTGCTCCCTTTGCCAACTACTGGATTAGGCTGGGCAACTATGACCAATGAGGGCTGAGAGGAAGTCTCCCAGGAGGCCTCCAGGAATGCTTTACTCGTTCGCCTACAGAAAAGAATGAGAGGAAACATACATACCCCTCCTGTTTTTGGTTGAGATATGGTCATGTCTTCGTGTGACAGATACTTGGAACTGTAGCAGCAATCTTTTAACCATTAGGTGAGAAACCCAAAGACCAAGCCACTACGTCAAGGATGGCAAAAGGAAAGGGCCTGAAAGAGCATGGGTTCCTGGCGACCTTGGTGAGCCACCGAGTATTCCTAAAAATACCCAATCTCCAGACTCCTCTTTAAATAATGTATTTTTTAAAATCCCGCGTGTAAGCTATTTTCGGCTTCTGTTAACTCGCAATTCTGACTGTAACATATTTGTTTTCTTGTCAAGCCAAGCCTCAAAATAGTAAAAACAACATAATCTCATTTTTATGTTATATAACTTTATACATATTATATATAACTATGTATTGTAAATTAAATGTTTTCTTCTATTATCTAATATTTTAATGGGAAGTATTTTGGAAAGAATGAATCTATAACTTTATTAAGTGAAAGTACAAAGAACTTTTAGAATGGTGTTATTAAAATTATATTCTGGTTTTAGCTTTTATTAACTAGCTGTGGGATCTTGAACAAATCACTGAACAGATTTAGGCCTCAATTTTCTAACCTACAGAAGGAAAGGGTTAGATCACTGATATGATCCTGTCCAATCTAAGGAACTATACTCCTAATTTAATCTTTCAAGAGCTCTTCAAGGCCTTTGTGACAAACATTCATCTTTAATGAGTTCTATCAACAAGGAATTTTTATGTGATGGCAACACTTCCTGTTATGTAACTGATTTATTAATTGTTAAGCAACTACCAACAGTTATTTCTAGACAAAGTGACACATTAGTGGTGCCCAGCTAAAAGGCTGAAAGCCCAGTGCTTGGTGTTTGCTCCTGCCAACTCCCAATTATTTATAATAGCAGAAGGATGGCATTCTGTGGGTAAACACTCTAAATCCAAGGCCTCAGACTCACTTGCTGATTTCACTTCCTTGCCATGCAAAAGTCAAAAAGTACAAAATGCAAAACAACAGACTATTATTCATACCATCCACTGGAACATCAGTTAAACGAAGATAAAGAGCAAGACATAGTTTAAGAGGAGGCAGCTGATCACTAAATCACAAAGCTGATTTAAAAAAACATCAGCCTCAGAATTAAAAGCAGTTTACAGTTAGTTCTGGAAAGGCAAAGGTGTCTTCCCACTCTCAATGCAACTGACACTAAAGGCATATAAAAATCCTTATCAGGGCCAGGCGCAGTGGCTCACGCCTGTAATCTCAGCACTTTAGCAGGCCAAGGCAGGCAGCATCACAAGACCAGGAGTTCAAGACCAGCCTGACCAACATGGTGAAACCCCTTCTCTACTAAAAATACAAAAATTAGCTGGGCATGGCTGGGCGCGGTGGCTCACGCCTATAACTCGAGAACTTTGGGAGGCCTAGGCGGGCAGATCATGAGGTGAGGAGATGAGACCATCCTGGCTAATGCAGTGAAACCCCGTCTCTACTAAAATACAAAAAAAATTAGCCGGGCATGGTAGCCATGCCCCTGTAATCCCAGCTACTCAGGAGGCCGAGGCAGGAGAATTGCTTGAACCCTGGAGGCAGAGGTTGCAGTGAGCCAAGATCGCACCACTGCACTCCAGCCTGGGTGACAGAGTGAGACTCCATTTCAAAATAAAAATTCTTACCAGTTGAATTATCAAGTAGACAGTATTTTCAGTGTAACATATTTTAAGACGTCTTAAAGCATTAGATGTCAAAAAGCTTTCCAACGGAAAAAAGAGGCACAACTTTGTTCTACTTTTCAGAGGGTAGCTACTAGAATGAAAATACTACTGGTTACTAAAACAGGCTACCAACACCTGTGCCAACACAACCAGAGGGCTGACAACTGATGGTCAAACCAACACTTGGTCAGGCGTAGAAGGATCACTTGAGCCCAGGAGTCTGAGACCCAGCTTGGGCAACATAGTGAGACCCCATCTCTATTAAACACACACACACAGACACAGATGCGCACACACACACACATTTTTTCTATAAAACTAGAACTACCAATACAGGTAAAATCCTATAAACATGTAATACAATGTAATACAACCACACTCATTGATGGTTACTTAACTTCCTTTTCTTTAATCGATATAATAACACTAAAACCATACGTCCAAGCTGCACAGCTCAGACGCCAGAATTGATGCATGACCGTCATGTAGTGATCACGCCAGGATCTACTTCCAAAAAGGGATTTGAGTCTGAAATGGAATGAACTGGCAGGACAAACTCAACTGGACAGAGCGGAAGTGGCATGCTTATACAAGATTTTCACCCTCATGCTGCTGCTTCTAGGTTCTCTGATATGCTTCAAAGGTCAGTTTAAAGATGAGTTTAACTGAGATAACTGGTCTGTTTAAGATGTGACAGCAAGAGAAACCTAGAAAAATAGCTGCTATTTGAAGACAACAGAAGCAGCATAAAGAGAGCACCTGCGGCTCAGCAGGGCAAGTATTCCGTCCGCCTACAATGCTGACCGCACTGTCAAATTCTTTAGCTACAGAGTGACAGGCAAAGGAAAGAAACAAAGCAATTCCACTTCTAGAAACTTATCCTAAGGAAAAAATTAGGAGAGTGCACCAAGAGTTAGCTTAAGGATATTCACTGCAGCCCTGGAAGAACAGTGGGTGGGTCAAATATGTTATGCTACAGCTCTCCAGAGGCGCAGCATTAAGGGAATGGAAAATAATGATGAATTTAGACATGCAATGACATCACACTGTAAGTGCAAAAGCAGCCTACTAAGAAATACAAACGGGAGGTCGAGGTAGCACGAGGTCAGGAGTTCGAGATCACCCTGGCCAATATGGTGAAACCCTGTCTCTACTAAAAATATACTAAATTAGCCAGGTGTGGTGGTGCACACCTGTAATCCCAGCTATTCGGGAGGCTGAGGCAGGAAAATCACTTGAACCCAGGAGGCAGAGGGTGCAGTGAGCTGAGATCACGCCACTGCACTCCAGCCTGGGCGATAGAGTGAGACCCCGTCTCAAAAAAAAAAAGAAATACAAACTATAGGATCCCATTAAAAACTCTGTATATAGGTAGAGAGATAGATATTTATATTTATTTATAGACAGAATTCTAGAAGTATAAGAACTAACTGTGTCAAGATCATGAGTGCTTTTTTGTTTCTGTTTGTTTTGAGATGGCGTCTCGCTCTGCTGCCCAGGCTACAGTGCAGTGGCATGCAATCTCGGCTCACTGCAACCTCCGCCTCCTGGGTTCAAGCAATTCTCCTGCCTTGGCCTCCCGAGTAGGTGGGACTATAGGCACACACCACCACGCCCAGCTACTTTTTTGTTTTTTTAGTAGAGACGGGGATTCACTATGTTGACCAGGCTGGTCTTGAACTCCTGACCTCAGGTGATCCACCTGTCTTTCCTTCCCAAAGTGCTGGAATTACAGGTGTGAGCCACCACTCCGGGTCATGAGTGCTTTTATATTTCCTGTTTTTATTTAGCTGTAATCCGTAATTTTGCTTTTCTATGATAAACATTTATCAGTTTTATAACAGGAAAAAAATTACTGAAATGATTAATAAGCAGAGATACAGAAAGTCCTTAATATTTTCAGATATTTATTATATACTATTTTCTATAAAGAGAAAAGAAAGATTTGCTTTAACAGGTCATTTTGGCAATATGAAATAGCTTTGTTATATGGAGCTGTGATTTATAATAGTATTACAAGTAATGGAATTTCATCTATGGAAAAATTTGGACAAATACTGAAACTGTTGACATGAGAGAATAAGAGATACTTACGGCTGAGTGAAGTCACGAGTGATGAAATCAGAACTCTTGAAAAGTAGAAAGATATCACTGAGGGTTTTACATTTCAGAGAACTATTCATTGCTATCCAATACGCATCCTAAAGAATGAAGCACATGCTATTTAGTCCATATTCCATGTTGGCTGCTACGAATGCTCAGGCCTATAACAAAATCAATAATGCATATCACCTCAAGGGTTTAAAGAAGAAAGTCAAGTAAATGTTAGCAGCACTGTCAAATGTTAAATTATGCTTAACAGCAAAGACCACCACCATTGCATTTCGGACACTTGGTTACGAGCACTGAGATGCCAGGGTCCTCACATTTCAGCCCAGGCCTAAGTACTTCCCAGTGTTTTTCTTACTGATAATAGAAGAGAGGAAAATGAAGTGTCAGAAACATTGACATTTTGGCTACAAGATTAAGGTGGTAAAGAAATAGCTTGACCAGTTACTCTCCAAGAAAAGAGATCAATCCCCACCCTTCCCGTTTCTGGGGAGTGGCAGCCAACACCTGAACTTTGGCGGCTGGAGCTGTTACACCAACATCTATCAAATCTGAAAGAGAAGGAGGTGAGCTATTCTGAACCACTACAACTTTAAACGGTAAATGTCTCATACATAAGAACAAAAGGTGGGAAGGCAAATGCAAAGTAGGCACAAAGCTCAGTGGAACATAGCTAAAAATTTTTTGGCACGTTTCTGAAAAGGGCAGAGTATGAATTTCCTCAGAATTCTAAAACAATCAGCAACACAGGAGGTGGAAACTACCTTTTGGCAGAATACATGGTATTTCACAGACCCAGGAAAGTGTATAGCAAAATCCGGAAGGTAAAATAGTAGAGGGAAATTAATAATAAATTCCACGGTATTTTTCCTAGAATTAGGAATATAATTAGACCCTCTGTAGGGATATGAAATGAAATAAATAGCAAAACAAAGAACATTCAAACAGTAAGAGAATTACTTATGTGTTCCTACCCTTGGGGCACTCCAGTTAAGCTTAGGAAAGACACTGCCCCCGAGGGAATTGATAGCTTCCTGGACTTGAGTGGCAAACTCAGGAAATTCTGGTGCCTACAGAGAGAGAAGAAACCATTGGGTACGTCAGTATCATCACAGTATCTATGGAAAACAAGATCAAAATCTCAAGGTTATAGCTGAGGGTGTTAAAAACAGAATTTAGAATACAAATTACTATTAAAATTTCTGAACTCAGCGAAATAAAATCAGTGATCAAGTACACTTACCAAAAAGAGAAATAAAATAATCAGCTGCTTAAATGGCATTTTCCAGACAATCAAAGCCTGCAAAGCTGAAATGACAACCACTAGGCTTCTGAGGATGTGAGGAAGGAATGAATGGTTCTCTGTACACCGACGTAAAACGAGTATTCATCAAGAGAAAAGAGACAGGTGGAATATCACCTGTACCAACACTCCAGTTGTCAGAAATAACATCCCTGCTTGAAGAGCTCGAAGCCCTTCCACTTGTAGGGAGAGTCCTAGACATACAGCATCCCCCAAAGCCACAGAGACAATGAAAAATAAATGACGTGGCAAACTATGTAAACACTGCTATTTCCAGACACGTTTTAAAACAAGTAAAACTCAAAATCTGAACCTCGGTCAAGTTAAAACGTTCTTTCCTTTTTGGATGATTTTAAAAATGCATATTTTCTATAAGCAAGTGACCAAAACATTCTGTATGTTTGTTTCAACTCAGAAGTGAATAGAAATACTGCTGCTAAACAGGAACTTAAGCCTGATGTCATTATGTCCTGTCACGATCACAGGAGCTTGTGGACATAAGCAAGAAAAAAGGTAAGTAAGAGAGGGGGAAGTAGGGCCCTCAAAAGACATAAGAAAACAAAAACATTAACAGATTCTCCACGCAGTCATTAATTTTCATTATATCCTGTAAAGAGGATTGCTGCCCCCTATAGGGCAACTATAAGTTCTGAAAAAAATCCAGTAACCAACTTCTTCCATAGGAAAAAAAAAAAGACAGACTACATCTTGACTTAACTAAATTACACATTCAAGATTACATCAAATAGTTATGTGGATCCCCAAGATCTAACCCAGCTATGTGAGAGAAAAAACTGTGACAAGAGTCTGAGAAAAGACCAAAGAAATGCGTTTTAAAACATGGTCATATATCCCCCAAACCAAGAAACAGCTTTGAGCAAAAGGTTAGGGAAGAGAAATGAGAGCTTAAGGCCCAATTAGGCTGCCTTTCTTTCTGCTACAGATAAATCTGACCTCTAGACTGGTTAATAACAGTATCTTTTAATTACTTGATCGGCTGCCCCTCTATCTATTTTCCACTAGACGACTTTAGCTTAGACACATGAAATGAAACCAGAGTAATTTAGAGGGTTTCAGAATGAACAGCAGCACTGAGTCCTTGATTTTCCATTCATCTCTCCCCACACAAAGCAATTGTGATTTATGGGAGGCCATTTCCTTATAATTGCCTGAAGCAGCTGACTTGGCTCCCCTACCGCTCTAGCCATAAACCCCACTCCTGTGAGATGGGCACTGGCAGTATTTCCTATGAATGGCATTGCTGCACAAACTTTACAACACGAAAGGATTCAACCTTCATAGATAGAGCAATTTCATTTTCCTATCCCATAAAACTTGACATCTAAGGATTACTTTATGTGCATGCCTTTTAAAAGATGTGATCAGTTCCCTCAAATCCTCAAAATTACTCAACTTTAGGATAACCTGCCATAAGAATCCCCAAACAAATTTAAATTATAGAAAGTTTATGCACAGTCTGAAGTGGAAGCCTATGCACTATTTATATACAGCACAATCTTCTAGGTTATCTGTTTTTAGCCAGGTCTGTGAGCTACTTTACAACCTGGCAAATTCTAGGTAAGTGATAGTGACATGAACTAATTCTTATGGACATGTAATTTCTATCTCATCTGGAAGAGGTCCAATTGTCTTTTCTCCCATACTGCAGGGAGGCAAAACCAGTTTTGTCTCATTTACATACCTATTTCAATATTCCTGATCTACAAATATAACTTTTCTTTGGATTCTCTTTTGAACCAGTTCTAACGTCTGGTTCCCTTATGCGTTAACTAACGTCTTCAACATGCATTAAAGAGTTTTATATGAGTCATGATTTTTGCCATTTTCTATAAATTATCTATCAAAATCAAGGAACTAACACTGACACAATAGAGATCTTATTCAAAATTTGCCAAGTGTTCTAATAACATCTTTTACAGAAAAAAAAAAAATTGAAACTTTTTTTCTGGTCCAGGCATCCAGTCTAGCTAGAATCATGGACTAAATCTAGTTGTCAGGTCTCTATAATCTTCTTCAATCTGTGGCAGTTCCTCTCTCTGTTGTTCTTACCATTTATGATCTTGATGTTTTTGAAAAGTTCAGGGCAACTACTCTATACAATTTCTAAAAGTTGAGTCTGTTGGATGTCTCCTCCCAAGTAGACTCAGGCTGTGCAGCTGTGACAGGTGGTGTCCTTCCCATGCATTGTATTGGGAGGCACGCATGACAGGTCTGTTCCGTCACTGTCGAGGTTAATACTGATCACTTGGCTGCCAGGTCTTTCCATGGTAACATTACTATTTTTCCTTTGCGCAAATAGTAAGTAATTTGGGTGAAGATACTTTGAGAAGATGGAAATATCTTCTTTCTCACTGTATATTCACCCACTAGTTTTAGCATCTATTCAATCAAATATTATTACCATGGTTGCCAAATAGTAATTCCTAATTCCATCATTCCTTCTACATGTATTAGTTAGTGCCTTTACTACCATAAAAACAAGCTTCCTTTTTTCCCCACTTATTTAATCACTTATGTATGTCACTATGGGATCAGCAATTCTTATTTTAGTCAATAGGTCATAATCTATTCCTATTACTACACTTGGAGTATCCCTCATCCAAAATGGGTAAGACCAGAAGTGTTTTGGATTTCAGAATATTTGCATATACATAATGGGGATGGGACCCAAATCTAAACACAAAAGTCATTACGTTTCATATACACCTTATGTACATGGCCTGAAGGTAATTTCATTTTCCCTTGGGGAGGCTGAATGAGCTGGGTTATGCACATACATTGTGGCTGTCCCTGTCACATGAGGTCAGGTGTGGAATTTTCCACTTGTGGTGTCATGTCAGTGCTCGTGAAGTTTTGGGAGCTAGGCATGGTGGCACATACCTGCAGTACCTGCTACTCAGGAAGCTGAAGCAGAAGGATCACATGAGCCCAGAAGTTTGAGTGCAGTCTGGGTAACACAGTGAGACCACCCAGTCTTTTTTTTTTTTTTTTTTTTTGAGACGGAGTCTTGCTCTGTGCCCCAGGCTGGAGTGCAGTGGCGCGATCTTGGCTCACTGCAAGCTCCGCCCCCCCGGGTTCACGCCATTCTCCTGCCTCAGCCTCCCGAGTAGCTGGGACTACAGGCGCCCACCACCTCGCCCGGCTAATTTTCTTGTATTTTTAGTAGAGACGGGGTTTCACCGTGTTAGCCAGGATGGTCTCGATCTCCTGACCTCGTGATCCGCCCGTCTCGGCCTCCCAAAGTGCTGGGATTACAGGCTTGAGCCACCGCGCCCGGCCTGACCACCCAGTCTTTTAAAAAAGTTTTGGATTTTGGAGCATTTTCGATTTTGAACTTGGGGATTAGGAACGCTCAAACTGTATTTGTTATGATGCTCATATTTTTAGACACGAGAGCCCAAAGCTGGCTTCTGGCATCTTTTTGTCATGTCCCATCACTGTTTCAGCACTTCCATAGTTCCTGGCACAGGCTGTTGCAGGCTCATTTTTACTTTCCCAACCCAAGTCCGGAGTATCTCCAAGAAGCTTCAATTTTGTTTAGTGGAGATTGGTATTTAGAAACCAAGATCAAGGCATCAGGTGTGCTCACTGCTACCAGGAATGTTATATGTCAATGATTCTAAAACTTCTTAGTGAACACAGTTTGGTAAATACACACACACACACACACACACACACACACACCCCTTTATATTAATTGCTGTATCTATCATCTATACATATTTATTTTATTTTATTTTTTTGAGACAAAGTCTCTCTCTGTCACCCAGGCTGGAATGCAGTGGCACAATCTTGGCTCACTGCAACCTCCACCTCCTGGGCTCAAGCAATTCTCCCGCCTCAGCCTCCTCAGTAGCTGGGATTACAGGTGACTGCCACCATGCCTGGCTAGCTTTTTGTATTTTTAGTAGAGACGGGGTTTCACCATGTTGGTCAGATGTGAGGTCACTCTTGACCTCAAGTGATCCACCCACCTTGGTCTCCCAAAGTGCTGGGATTACAGGTGTCGTCAGCCACCGCGCCAGGCCCATCTATACATATTTAAAAACGAGTTCATACTGATACTCCCCACCACTATTAAGATCCAGTCAGATACCACTTGTCCTGTCAGGCATTCTGGTGTCCTCAGCTGTAACTACTCTCTCTGATCTGACAGCACTGTCATCTCCCCCTGCCTGTGTCACCTTTCCCCTGGTTTACAAACTCCCTAATGGTGAGAATCAAATCATATTCATCTGTGTTCATCTCACAGAATCCAGTTTAGTGCCTGAGTATGGCAGATAAGTAACATTTACATGACATGGAATGGAATTTTCATAAAATGAGAGTGATCTGAATGGCATCTGGAGTAAATGAAACATGCGAACTTTCCACTTAGGCATCTGCTGGCAGGCTTCCCTTTTTACACCTAAAGAAACATGTCAGTTTTGAGCAGCTCCACTTCTTTTTTTTCTTCTACCCCGGCAATCATATCTCTCATTAAAATAAACAAGTATCTTCTTATTTAGAGCTAGATTAGAACAAACTCTCCCACAAAGCTGGTTTTCTATATTTCTGCCTTTACATTTACTTGTAAGGAGTTTCACTAAAAATCTTTCCTTTTTAACTCAAGGTATGAGGAGTTTCATTCACCTATTTTTAGAAACAGAACATCTGCTTCACCCACTCCTTTAAAAATATCTTCATTTAAAAAATTTCAGGTTAACTTTCACAACGGCACTCTTATCCTAAAACACTGTGATATGCTTGATAACCTCTACATTTTTATGTAAAACACTGGTAAAAGTCACATACCTCTCTACTCTCGCTTGAAAGAAACAGTAATTTTTATGCCATTTAAATATACTTGAGGCCAGGCACTGTGGCTCAGAGCTGTAATCCCAGCACTTTGGGAGGCCAAGGCGGGCCTATCACCTGAGGTCAGGAGTTCGAGTTCACCCTGGCTAACATGGTGAATCCCTGTCACTACTAAAAATACAAAAATTAGCCGGGCTTGGTGTCAGGTACCCGTAATCCTAGTTACTCAGGAGGCTGAGGCAGGAGAATAACTTGAACCTGGGAGGTGGAGGTTGCAGTGAGCCAAGATCACACCACTGCATTCCAGCCTGGGCAACAGAGCAAGACTCTGTCTCAAAAATAAACAAACAAAATAACTAACTAACTAAATATAAATAAATACACTTGAATAAGGAAATACAGATTTTCACTTTAATTTATGTTTCAGAGATATAGGAAACTCAGAGTTCAACGTTAGGTGTAATTCCTTCTTGCAGAGCATCAGAGCTTAACAGAAATAAGTCAAGGCATCAAATATGCACTCGAAATATTTCCTTTGCAATTAAAGGGGAAAAGGGCAAATCATGTTTGCCTGCTAAATGAGGCTTCAAGTCATTTTTCAAAATAAAAACGACAGCCCACAGGAAAAATAATATATGAAATGGCGACTAACTAAGAATTTAGAGAGGTACGCACTTAAACCCTGGCGCTAACCCTTGTGTGACAGTGTGAGGCTGTCCCCACGCTGAGTCTGCTGTGCTCTTACCGTAAGCGTGGCTGTGTTCTCATCATCAGACCACTGCATGAAAAAGAGGAAAAAACAAAACATTACATTTAAATACTGCACTGGGCTTCAAACAGCAGTGCTCCATCTAAAAATTATAAATCAAATGGAGACATCTTTTCCTGAACACAGAGTATATGTGAAAATATATGTCAAAGTAAGATTCTCATGTAATTTCTGATTTTATCAGATGTAAGATAAGATCTAAAAGTCAGAACCATCTCAGAGATCATTTAAACTACAACAGTCTACAGAGCAGATTATTTTATTTGGTACCAACCTGTATTTCTTCTGCTTCATCATCACTGTCTGGCTGAGAATGTGTTGGTGGATCGTCCCTAAAAAACACAAACAAACATCAAGAAAGAAAAGGACTTGGGTCCTGTGTGGTCCTAATTTAGGGGTACTGAGTATATGTTTTAAAATAACCTTAAAATTAGGCTAGGTGTGGTGGCTCACACCTATAATCCCAGCACTTTGGGAGGCTGAGGTAAGTGGATCGCTTGAGCTCAGGAGGTAGAGATCAGCTTGGGCAACATGGCAAAACCCTGTCTCTACAAAAAATACAGAAATTAGCTGGGCGAGGTGGCATGTACCTATAGTTCCAGCTATCTGGGGGCTGAGGTGGGAGGATCGATCACTTGAACATGGGAGGTCAAGGCTGCAGTGAGTTAAGATCATGCCACTGCACTCCAGCCTGGGTGACAACATAAAACACTGTCTCAAAAATACATAAATAAATAAACAAACAAATAAATAAATAAAACTGAAAGCCTTAAAATTGGAGAATAAGGCCAGTCATGGTGGCTCACACCTATAATTCCAGCACTTTGAGAGGCTGAGATGGGAGGACTGCTTAAGCCCAGGAGTTTGAGACCAGCCTGGGTAACACAGAGACTCTGTCTTTACAAAAAATTAAAAATTAGCCAGGTGTAGAGAACACTTGTGGTCACAGCTATACAGGACACTGACGCAAAAGGATCCCTTGAGCGCAGGAGTTTGAGGCTGCAGTGACCTATGATCGCACCACTGCACTATAGCCTGGGCAAGACAACGAGACCCTGTCTCAGAAAAAGAAGAAAGAAATAAATGAGAGTACACTTGCACGAAGAGCTGACAGAATAAAACCCTTCTGTCTTGTTCTCAGGTATCATTAAAAACAAGGGAAAGAGAAAAAAACTCCATCTCTGATAATACTGAGAATCATCTAGACTCTGAAACTCAGTGTGTGAGAAAGTTCTGTCAAGAAAGGGAAGATTGAATAGGATAAGGAAAGACACCAGAAGCGAATGTCTGAAGAGCTGTCTACACAGATGATGGAACTACTCTGGGGGCAAAATCAAGAATCTTTTCTTTGCACAATGAAAACATGGTGTGCGGGCTGGTGTCAGGATCTAGACTGAACCACAGCAAAGGGTAAGAGAGGGGAAAATAAACAGGCACACTGTCTTTGAAGAAGACAGAAGCAAAGCAAGGTGTGGAGTCCTAATTAGGGGAAAGGAGTTGGACTGGCGGGAGCAGGGGAAAGCAAAAAGACAAGGCAGATAAGCTCTAAGTCTGCCTTTCTTCATGGTCCAGGACACACACCCCTCCTGCACAGATAACTCACTATCTTTCCATGCCCAGCTACCACTGGACCCTCAAAGGATAGAAAAAGGCAAGTGAGCTCACGGCAATACTGCACAAAGCCTTCTTCAGGGCACAACACAAATACCATCTTATAAAAATCCCCAGCAAGCCTTTGTCTCCCCACAGTCAGCTCCTTTCTTGCTGACCTGCCCATTGCACCCTTGCAACATATTTTCATACTTTCTCTAATAAATTTGCCTTTCTCTGTATCCAACTATCATGGTAAATTCTTCTTACTACCCACATCACTAGCCCCAGATAGTCGCTGATCACCTGCAACACAAGGGCTGAAAAGGGCCACCCAGCAGCTCATCTTCATTGCCTAGAGGGAATCGGAGGCTTAAAGAACTCAGAAGGAAGACTCAGAACACCACCCTGGCCCCTCCTCAACACACAAGTACAAATAACTAGCCTGGGAAGAACTCATATCATTGAGAAAAATAATCATAAGAACCAACATAGCAGTTATGCAAAAACTAAAGAAGGAAAAGGAAGGGGAAGATTCTGGTTAAACATGTGCTTTTATCTCTATGTTCCCTCTGGAAACTCTACTAAAGTGAGAGGAAAGATCCCAAGGACAATGCTAAGTGAAAAGGAATCAACCATAGAAGAAAGATGGCAACAACAGTTTGGAAAACAGAAAGTCAAGGGGAAGGATAAGTCAAGGAGCAACAGGTTAGAACTTAGAGTTATCCTGGAACATGGAACTGAAGCTCTGAAGTCCATCCAGAGAGCAGTGAGACAACATCCATCTCCTTGCCCTGCACACCCTAGCAACGAATCCTCCTTAGCCCCTTTGGTAAGCAGATTTATTTTCTGGAAAAAATGAACTCAAGAGGGTTCAGGTACACAACGGCCCAGACGAATACGGGGGTGAAATGCTGGACTGGACTATGGTGAGAAGTTATGTGAAAGTCAAATTGAACACTGCGACCCCTAGTCCCCTTCCTCCCACCCTGCTCCCACAACACAGACAGATTAAAGGATTCTTCCGGGCAGAAACTGAGAAACCCCAGAGGACACACCATTATCTGGGAATCTTCCCTCAATGCTTGCTGCCTGCTGGCACCCTCAGGCATCACGCTCCATCCAGGTACACAAAGTCTGCAAAGGTCTGTCTGTGTGTGTCCTCCTCACTCCTAAATACGAATGAAGGCCTACAATGATTAGAAAACAGAAGAAAAACTCCAAGATGAAAAGTGTTTTCAAAAAGGAGAGAAAAAAGGGGCATGGAAGAAAAAAAAGACAATAAAGGGACCAGATGAAAGATATTTTTAAAAATCATTAATACCCACGAATATAAAAGATGTCACATCCATTATGGGAGAAGAGGAGGCTATAAAAAAGGAACAGAGGAACTTGTAGACACTGAAAACATGACAGTTGAAATTTTAAAATTCAACAGAATGGAAAAATAATTACTTAGAATTAGAATAAAAAAGACAAGGAAAGAGAAAATAGAGAAGAAATAACAAAATTCAGAGAATTAAGCCAAAAGACCAAACACCAAAACAACAGGAGGTTCAGAAAGAGGAGCAAGAAATTAGAGGAAATTATCAAAGATTCTTTTTTAATAGCCCAAAACAGGAAAATTTAAGTCTTTAGAATGAAAGGGCTCACCACGTACTTAACACAATAAATGGAGGAAAAAAAATACCTTAAATGGGCAAAAATGGACACAATAATGCTTCCAATCTTTTTTTTTTTTTTTTTTTTTTTTTAAGATGGAGTCTCCCTCTGTCGCCCAGGCTGGAGTGCAGTGGCCGGATCTCAGCTCACTGCAAGCTCCGCCTCCTGGGTTCACACCATTCGCCTGCCTCAGCCTCCCAAGCAGCTGGGACTACAGGCGCCCGCCACCACGCCTGGCTTTTGTTTTGTTTTGTTTTGTATTTTTAGTAGAGATGGGAGCCAGGATGGTCTTGATCTCCTGACCTTATGATCTGCCTGCCTCAGCCTCCCAAAGTGCTGGGATTACAGGCGAGAGCCATCGTGCCCAGCCACGCTTCCAATCTCTTTAGACATGCCCTTTGGCAGAGTGACTTTGTCACTCTTCCCATGTAGAAATGGCATTTATTTTCCCATTCCTCTAATTCAGACTGGCTTCAAGAGTCATTCTGGGCTGGGCGTGGTGGCTCACGCCTGTAATCCCAGGACTCTGGGAGGCTGAGGTGAGTGGAACACTTGAGGTCAGGAGTTCAGGACCAGCCGGGCCAACATGGAGAAACCCCATCTTTACTAAAAACACAAAAATTAGCCGGGCATGGTGGTGGGCACCTGTAATCCCAGCTACTTCGGAGGTTGAGGCAGGAGAATTGCTTGAACCTGGGAGGCGGAGGTTGTAGTGAGCCAAGATGGTGCAACTCAACTCCAAGAGAGAAACTCTGTCTCAAAAAACAAACAAACAAAAAATACAGTGGGCTGTGTCTTGGAAACCAGAGGGCAATTTTCTGCCACATGAAGATAAAAAACTATTCCCCATCAGGTCTAAGAGAAAAATAAAAATTTTTTCAGACATGCAAAGACCCAAAAGCTTTTCCTCCTATGCATTTTGGAGCATGTGTTCCAATAAAGCAAACTGAATAAACCAAGAGAACAATAATGTGGAATCCAAGGCACAGAATATTTAGCACAGAAGAAAAGTCCCAAGTTGACAACCGTACACCAGACCTGCAGAACTGCCAGCTCCAATGGGAACAGGAAAATGGAAGATCGCTAAAATGAGATCTCCAGGAAAAGAAAAACGCAACTGCTAGGTTTGGAACTGTACTTGAAGGTTTAGAAAAATAGCTAAAAGACCTATGAACTGTCTATTGCAACATTTGTAAGATATTAGTGATAGACACAAAATATAAAGCACATTTTAAAAACATGATTATTGGTTCCAGGGAAAACAGTTATTTCAAAAAAGAAAATCATAGTACACAATGTGGCTCTGTAGTCAATGGTAATGACACGATATTGTAAACATCGACTACTGATTTAACAAAAAATTGTAAGGAAGATAAAGAGGCCAGGCATGGTGGCTCACACCTGTAATCCCAGAACTTTGGGAAGCCAAGTGGGTGTATTCCTTGAGCCCACGAGTTCAAGACCAGCCAGGGCAACATGGCGAAACCCTCTCTCTACAAAAAAGTAAAATTAGCCGGGCATGGTGGCACATGCTTGTAGTCCCAGCTACTCAGGAGGATAACATGGGAGGATTGCTTGAACCCAGAAGGAAGAGGTTGCAGTGAGTCCAGATCACACCACTGCACTCCAGCCTGGGCAACAGAGTGAGACTTTGACTCAAAAAAGATAAAAAGGCTGTAACAGAGCTAAATCTTAAAACCTACAAACATCATAACGGAAAGTCAAGAAATAACATTAAAGATGGAGATAATATTAAGAAATATGAGTGTGAGTATATTAAGAAATATGAAGCTACAGGGAGTAATTCCATTCACATCTGCTGAGGGTGCACTGTGTGCTGAGTGTTTTTCAGAATAGTAGTAATCACTGGAAAGGCACACCATATCCTCCTCTGCAGATCCAGAAATTAATAATCTGGCTTATCAATCAGTCTGCTGTGACTTTGGTTAACGTGTGTCAGTTCCCCAATTTTGTTTGTTCGTTTGTTTGTTTTGAGACAGAATCTCGCTCTGTTGCCCAGGCTGGAGCACAGTAGCACGATCTCAGCTCACTCCAACTTCCACCTCCCAGATTCAAGTGG